GACAGCAGGTGACTTGTAATCTCTAAATGAATTGCTCTATGAGAGGAAACAGGCTTCTGAATTCAGCGAAGGAAAGGAGGGAGGGAGGGAGAGATGGAGGAAGGACAGAAGGTCATAAAGGGTAGGACTCCAGGTTACATACTTTCTGTTACCACGGCAGGGTCATATTGCAATTAGAAAACAAGTCTGGACACACTTACCTATCAGTTCAGGAAAATAATTTAGAGCTACTTTTTATATACTGAAATATTATTGAAGTACAAAATGTTAACATTTTCATTGAAAGCAGAACTGACTAAGCAATTCACCTAGAGAAATAGCGCACAGTTACTTGATGAACTGACAAGGCAGTGTGAAGTAGGGACGTTGGCATAGACTGCAGTCGGGGGGGCCTTGGTTTCAGTCCAAGCTCTAAGGCTAAATAGCCATAGACTATTGGGGAAAAATGACTTAAACCCTCTAATCTTTAGCATCATAACCTGCAAGTGGAGGAGAAAGATACCTCACAGGTGTTGAAGGGTAAAATGAGACAGAGTAGCCTAGTACGTTGCCTGGCACTTAGAAAATGTTGAGTAAAGGTTAGCTTCAGCCCCTCTCCCTGTGCCTCAGTCTCCTAGAGTAGCATCTTTCCCCACCATGTGCATTCGGCAGTAAGGCTGACAACTACCGTCATTGAGGATTTTTCTATTGATCCCTCCCTTCTTCCCTGTGGTGTTAATTCAGTACTCACTTGATCACTGCTTTTCATTTCTAGAAACTGCCATGTTGTAGTGTACACACTGTTGACACAACACATCCAAACGGAGCTGTGTGAATTTTTACTGTGATAATTGTATTTCAGGATCTTATGGTGCATAGCGTTATGATTACTAACGTAATCTTGTGCAATTACGGGAGCGCCGTCGCGCTCCCAAGCGGCGCACTGTAGCAGTGTGCCACCGGGCCGGCCCGCTCTTTTCTTTTTTTATGTTAGCAGATTAGGGATTACTTTAAAATCTGAATTCTGATTGTCACTCCAACTTTCTTGTATGTATACAGCAGGTTGGGGATGTGATAGAATAGTTTGAGATACAGAATTCATCTGTGTCCCTCACTGAAGATTTTATAGATAACCTGTGTGCCTGCAGTAGTGTTTTGTTGTTCTGGTGGTGTTGTCGTCGTTGTTATTGTTTCTGTTTAATTTTGCAACAGAACTCTGGGTGCCTAGTGGATCATCATGGAAAGCCAGCTGCCTGGTTTTCCAGTATTGCTTTTTACTCTCCATCTAAACCCACGGCTCTGTTTCCTGTGCAGATTGCTAACAATATTTGTCCAAATAGCCAGTCCCTTCCCAACTCAGACCCGCTGACCCTTCCTTTCTGAGATGATTATGGGTTCTGAAGTTTGAATCAAGCCATGCTTCAGAATCACTATCTAATAACTTCTGTGCTTACATAGTAAGAGTATCAGTCAGCTTTTCCTGTTTTCATTCATGCTGTTAAGTTGAATAGCTGTAACAAAAAGGAAAGGGATTGCCAAAACAAATAACTGCTGTGGCATGTGCAAACGTTTATTACAAGCCTTACTATATGCAGCTTTCAGAAATCTACATTACAATGTAATCTACATTACATTCTTTTCAGGAAAGCTAAATTATACTAAGTAGACTTGCTTCATGACTCAGTCTGTATTAAATTCAACATTAAAGAATCTTTTAGCCTGTATCTCTTTTAAAATTGATTAGGAGCAACAAATAAGATAAAGGAATAAATTGCCTATTTCAGGTCACTAGGAAAACTAAACTTAAAAGTTTTATATGTTGACAATTCCCAGGAAGTACCTAGGAAATGGAACCTGGCAAGAAGAGTGGCTTGGAGCTGGGTCTTCATCAGGGCCCCCTGAGATACTAAGGCACAGATGCACAGCACTCCACAGTGTCCATTTCCAAGTTAATAGTTATTGGTGACACCTTATTAAAGTGGTCTTTACTTTTGTGATTACTGATTACACGTCAGTATACCTTTGTCATGTTCTTTGTTTTCTTTGGCAGCCTGATATTTGAAAACAAACAATGTAACAGTGATTACATGGAGTATTTCAAAACAGCTTTCAAAATATGAGATTCTGGCACTTCCTCCTGTTTTCTTCACATTATTTGTCTCTCTATTTCCTTTGCATTTGGAAGCCATAGGTCCTGGACCTTTCTGACTGCATCCTGTTTCCTTCTCCTAACTGAAGTTCTCTTTGTTACTACCTTTTTCTTTAAAAAAAATTCCAATTTGTCCTTTAAAATATGAAATTAAACTTAGCTAGCCTGTGTAGACATTTGAGATGACCACGTCTTTATCAGATATGACGTTTATTAAATCCATTTGGGTATTGTAAGAAAAAACGAGAAGTATGATAGGGAGAACTAAGAACATATTTTTAATTCTATTTCATTCTACTTTGTGTGTCTATCTCCATTTAATTGTGGCCTTTACTTTAGATTGTCGTTGGCTCCTGAGTCCTGCTCTGTTAATTCGTTTACTTATATGTGCCCAGTCCTGTGCTAGATACTGGAGGCACAGAGATGAGTAAGGCATGGTTCCTGCCCTCCAAGGGGGGACGGCACAGCAGTTTACTTAGCATGCTGCATGCAGCGATGGACGCAGGCTGGGGAAGGAGCCCTCTTGCCATCCGTCAGCTCCTGTTTCTCTGCTTGGACAAATGCTGTTTGTCCTTGAGAGCATGACTCCATCGTCATCTTTCCCCATACCTCACAGGCAGACTCCATCCCTCCCAGTGTGCTACCCTCCAGTTCTCTCTAGTAATAGCAGATCGTCTCTCCCCAATTTCCCTGCAGCCCTTGAGGGTAGTGACCCTAAGGCTAGGCTTGTACCACTGAGAAAAGTGCCTGGACATAGCAGGAATTCAACAAATGAATTGAATTCTAGCAAGTTCAATTGAATATGATTTCTAGCAAGAGGGAGAATTGTTCTTTTGGTAATCATGATGCCAGCCATTTTTGTGAGCTCTCACTATGCACCACAAAAAAACAGTAATTCGGTACTTTACATGTATTATTTCACTTAATCCTCCCAACAAGTCCAATGAAGACATTGAGACTCAGGTTAAATAACTCACCAAAGCTGCACAGCTGGGGAAGGATTCAGGATCCCGTCTGTGATACTAACCCACAGGACAGTTACTTTTGTAATCAAGTACGGTTGCCTCGCCGTCCATCCTTCCCCCACTGACAGTCCATTCTGTAATGACATTTGTCAGAAGTCAACTGAATTATTCCTCTACCGGGGTCCACTGTGCCACCAACATGATAAAGTTAACATTTGCTTTATCAGGGGTACCAGTAAGATAAAGATTGTTACTGTAAGCAGTCATCTCTGGTTTTGACCACTACTAATTCGATCACAAGAATTGTCCCAAATACTCTATAAAAAGGAATGTCTTTTACTTCTTTAAGTTGTTCTACTACAAAGTTTGGTCAAAGAAAATATAATAAAAGATAAAATGGCATTCCAAATTGAGTATTTTTTAATTCATCAAAAGCTTGTCAGCAGTCATAAAAAACATTTATATCCTCTGGCCTCATAACCTCCCCCTCAGGAATTTATTCCAAGAATATAATTTGAAAGAGTTTTAAGTTTATGTACACAGCTATTTTCAGTGTAGCATTATTTATATTGGAAAGAACCCAAATGTTCAATAACAGAAAATTTTTATAAATCTTGGTACATCAACTTAGCAAAATGGTAAGCTTCGACTCATAGTCATAAATTTTGAAAATTTGTAGTACAGCAGGTAAACTGATCATTTTAAAGTAAAAGAGCAGACTACAAAATCCTACCTATCCTATAAAAATTATATAGGCATATGAAGTACTAAAAGGGAAACCATAAAGAATTAGAACTGATTGATATATTAAGAGTTTGAAATTACGTATGAAAATTTATCATTTTATTCTTGTTAAATGTATATATTCAGTGAATACAAGGAACAGATATTTTCATCTGTTCACACTTTAAATGTTTTTTATTTCTACCTCAGGAAATTTTTTTACTGCAAATTTCTATTCCATAAATTACGGCCTCGGTTGTACTGTCAATAGATAGTGCATCTTTCATAAATACTTATTGCGACATTGGTAGTAGTCTTTTACTAAAGCAGTGTACTTCCTAAATTTTAATAGACTTTTATCTCACCTGGGCATCTTGTTAAAATGCTGATTCTGATTCAGTAGGTTTTATGGGAGATCCAAGATTGCCTTCCTAATAAACTCCCAGGTGATGCTGCTACTGTTGGCCCGTGGGTCACACCTTGAATAGCAAGGTCCTAGAGCTGTCCTGTGTGCATGGAGATGTTACTGACCCAGTGTCCAGCATTATCTTGGAAGGTGATGTTAGATATTCTCTGCTACTGCTACACTTGCTACAGGAAGCATGTCCAGCAATTTGGGGGTTGTGGGGAGGCAAGAGAAGTGAGTATTCTCTTTGATTCTGGAATAAATTCTGAAGTCTGATGATCAACATCTTTATACCAGTCAACTAAATTGAATTTTGTCCATCAACAGAGATGACCAGGTGGCACTAAAATAAATGATTCTAAATATAAAGAATAAGAAAAGATCTTCTATCATAATCATGCTATTACTGTCATTTGGTTACAGTTTCGAACCTGATTACAAAGTTGCAAATCCCATTTGTGTTAATATAGAAAAGCTTTGTTTTGAGTTACAATTCTAGAAGAAAAATCTTGGCCGTGGGAATGGATTCTTTAGGCCTGGTAATATGAAACAAGGTAGGAAGCTGTCTTTTTAGAGCATACAATGAAGTAGAACGTTTTCTTTGAGGACGGGGAATTCCCTTTGCCTTTGCATAAGAACAAGCTGCAGTGTTGTGTAGTAACCTAGCAGCAGGGAGGAATTTAAGCTCTCCTTTGAGCTTGAATTATAACAACGATTGCCAAAATCTGTTAACTTGTTTTAGAAAATAATAGCATATTTCCAACTTAATTTCCCACAGTGACGGAAGCCGGCTTTGGTGCTGATATTGGAATGGAGAAGTTTTTCAACATCAAGTGCCGAGCTTCCGGCTTGGTACCCAATGTGGTTGTGTTGGTGGCAACCGTGCGAGCTCTGAAGATGCATGGGGGTGGCCCGAGTGTAAGTTTCCATTCTTCTTTCCTAGTGAAAAAAAATTTTAATTAAGATAATTGAGCATTTGAAACATTTATGCCTGCTTAATTACTGTAGTTTTCTAGAATGTCTCCTTTCTAAAACCTTTTTTACAGATTACCGCCATAGGACATTTTGAGTTTAGTAAGTTCAAGTGAACAGCAACACCCACAAAGTTATTTCTAAGCAGTATTTTGGAAAGGAGCACAATGTAATCATTTTTTGATCTTCAGATGCATATCTGATACTCAGGCCAACTTTTTATAACCACATGGTAATGGGATAGAGGCTCTTGTTCGTAAGCGAAGAACGTAAGGATTAGAGTGATTTCTTTGATGGCTGAGGTTTCTCAATGTTTGTACAGATAGTTTTTCAGTTCACTGATGTTGCAACTCATCAGATTTCATCCAAAATGATTTTCCTTCTGTTTCTGTTTATTTTGATTTTTGCTTCATAATTCTGTTATGGCACTGGATTGTCTCTAAGAGAGCTTTGCTTGGAACACAAACTCTATTTTAACAGTCTGAAAGACTTTTCTTATTTACCTATCTTGATATGTATAGAATTTACAGACATCTGAAAGGGAATATTTTGCTTTCCATATAAGAGGTATGTGAGGGTTTTTGTTTTCATTTTAGGAATTTGCAAGTGGAGAATAAGAAATTTTATACTGGTTAATCATTTCAAAATAAAATCATATGAAGGTTTTTTTTTATCATTATAATATTGACATACGAGACAAACAGCCAAATCTGATTTTTTTTTTTTTTTTTTTTTGACCAGTAAGGGGATCGCAGCCCTTGGCATGGTGTGGTCCACACCACGCACAACTAGTGAGCGCACCAGCCATCCCTATATAGCCATCCCCTACCAGTGCCGCACTCTCCCGAGTGAGCCACGGGGTTGCCCAAATCTGATTTCTTAATTGGTATACTGTGTACATAAAAGTCATATAATCAATGATTATACTATTACATAGTAAAACAGATGAAACTCTAATGTGCATTGTTTGATCATCTTAGCAGTTCTTGGTCCTGGGAAAGGCAGACATTGGACATTATTCTTTTTGTTTTTGTTTGTTGGCGACTGGCTAATACAGGGATCGAACCCTGGACTTTGGTGTTATCAGCACCAGTAGACATTATTCTTATACCGTTTAACAGCTGAGGAAACTGAGGTTTGGTGGGTTTAGGGAATGTGGACAGTTACCAGGCCAGCAGCAAGCCAGATCTTATTTGGAGGACTTCAGATCCAAATCTCTTTCTCTGTCAACTGTGCAGAACTGAATATTAATGAAGGGTAATATGTTTTAAATCCCAAATCTACTCATAATACCATACACCTGAGCACTTCATTTTTTCCTCAGGTTTCATCATCATTTCAATGCAAAATTGATATAATACATCCTTTAAGGTAGTAAATCCTAAAGAATTCTAATTTTGCTCCAAACACCAGTTGTTGCTACAGTTCCTGGACTTTAGATTTTGAATCTGTATACCACCTTCCACTTTCAACAAAACTGTTTCTGCCTATGTAAAATGCATTTGAAATTCTCTTATCCTGTCCTGAAAAATATAAAATCAAAGGGCTTTAAGAAAGGGCTTAGGAATTATCCAGTCTGGTCCAGTCTTTAGAGGAAATCTCTGAGGCACAGGGAGATTCAGTGGCTTGGTGATATCACACATCTGTTTAGGGGACTAATCAGACCTAAAATCAAGGTCTCTTGACTTTCAGTCCTGTGTTTGTCCTGGTCTCTATTCTGTAAAAGTTCTCTACATAATTTATGATCCTATTTCATTTCATCCTAATGTATGTGCTCTGTTTTAGGATGCTTGCATTTTTTTCCCACGCTAATCCTTTGTCTCTTGCACTCCCACTGAAGTCAGGTTCTAGGCCAGTGATGATTATAACAAGGCTCAGGGTTAGAAGGCACAGATATGAGTGGAGGATAGTAAAAGGGAAGGATCAGGAAGCCCCATGAAGCTAAGCATCCCTGTCCTGGGCTCGGTGAGTAGTGCCTTATGCATCATATTATTTTATGAATGTCTGTGCGTCTCCCTACTCAATTCTGAATCCCGTGAGATTAGGGACTATGTCTTATTAATTGGTATGTCTGACATAGTCTTTAGCCAGGAAATGTTATCAATAATGAATAATAAGTGAACTTTCATCTTCTTAATCCTATATTCCGTATTAACTGTCTCAGTGTCATTCCTTCCTACTTGAAACAACTCTGTGGTAATGTTTTTGATTCATTACAATTTCTACTTCCTTTTGTTATCATTATACAAATAACCATGGCTGCCTCTTATGTTTATTCAGCTTGCTTTTTTCCATAATGTGTGTAGTGGAAAATTCTGTGACCTTTGAACTTGTCCATTTTAGCCCCCCAGTCATTTTAAATTTCATGTCCTGTCTTCCAAAGTGCACCATTCTTGGTGCAGTAGAAGAACTAATATTCTGTTATTCTTCTGGAGCCACATATTCCTTTCACACTTAGTTCTTTAAACCAATTGTATTAATCCAGGTTCCCCAGAAAAACAGAACCAATAGGATGTGTGTATATACATATAGAGAGAAAGATATTTGTTATAAAGGATTGGGTTGCATGGTCATGGAGGCTGGCAAGTCTAAATCTGCACAGTGGGTTACCTGGCTGGAGCCCCAGTAGGGCCAGTAGTGCAGTTTCAGTCCTAATTCAGTCAGCTGGGGATTGCTGAGGGGAGGCCAGTGTTTTTGTTCTATTCAGGCCTTCAGCTGATTGGCTGAGATCCACCCATATTATGAAGGGCATCCTGCTTTACTCAGAGTCCACTGGTTTAAATGTTAATCTCATCTAAAAACCCCCTCACAGAAACACCCAGAAAAATGTTTGCTCAAATAGCTGGGCACCCCATGGCCCAGCCAAGTTGACACATATAATTAACTGCCATATCTGTTACTACTGAATTTTGGTATGTGGTGGTATGTGGTGCAAGGACCAGATGTAATTTAATTGTGTCTGTGCTACACTGATACCCTATAAGGCAAGCTACCCCAGTTTGCTCTAGTTCTTCATGGGTGCTGGGCCTATTATTGGCCTTTTTCACTTCCAGTAATTTAATTGTGTCTGTGCTACACTGATACCCTATAAGGCAAGGTACCCCAGTTTGCTCTAGTTCTTCATGGGTGCTGGGCCTATTATTGGCCTTTTTCACTTCCATGTGTACTTTAGAATTAGTGCATCAGGTTCCACAAAGAATCTTTTGTTGTTGTTGTTGTTGTTGTTGTTGTTGTTGTTGTTGTTGTTGTTGTTGTTGTTGTTGTTGTTGTTGTTGTTGTTGTTGTGGCTAGCTGGTATGGGGATGTGAACTCTTGACGTTGGTGTTACAACACCGTGCTCCAACCAGCTCCACAAAGACTCTTCTTAAGATTTTTGCTGGAATAGAATTAAATCATTGATGATATGGGAAGATTTGATAGCTTTCTAAGGACATTGTATATCTATTCATCGATTTAGTTGTCTTAAATATATGTTAATAAGGACTTACAGTTTATTCCATAAAGGGCTTGTTTACCTTCCTATAGATTCTGTCTACTTTATACTTTTAAATAATTTAACAGGTTATTTTTGTTCTTAAAAGTTACTTTTATATCTAACACCTGTCTAAATTCTCTTATTAATTTTACTGATTTAGCTATAAATGCTTTGGGGAGTTCTATGAGGGCAGTCATACCTGGAAATAATGACAGTTTTGTTAATCTTCTCTTCCGACCTTTATGCTTTTTTTTTTCTTGTCAGTGACAAGGTCTTCCTATTTACAATGCAGTGTTGAATGGGGGTGGTGATAGAGGCATCTTTTTATTATTCCTGATCTTAAAGGAAATGCTTTTAATAGTTCATCACTAAGTATGACGTTTGCTGTAAATTTTTAATGTATGTTTTTTAATCAGGTCAAGGAAGATCGCCTTCTATTTCTAGTCTGTCAAGTTATACCAAATGGATGTTGAATTTTCTTCATCCATTGAGACGATGAAATGGTTTTTTTCTTTAATTATTAATGTTGCATATTTTATATATATATATATATATAAATTTCAAATATTAAATGAACCTTTCATTCCTAGAATAAACCAAATTTGGCACTCATTATCTTTTGTACGAATAACTGGATTTTGCTAATTAGTTTCCTCAGGTTTTAAGGAGGATTTTTCCATCTTTGCAACAACAATGACAAAAGAGATTATTAGCAACATAAAGTAAATAAGAGAGGATTCTTTATTTTGGATATAGTCTATAATGGTTTATGTAACAGTAGAATAATTTGTGTACTCAAAATTGAGTAGAACTCACCTGTGAAACTGTTTGAGCCTGTTGCTTATTGGTGGGGTTTTTAACTACAAATTTAATTTTGTTTTAATTAATACAGAATTGTTTTGGTTTTCTATTTCTTCTTAAACGAGTTTTAATAAAAGTTATACCTCTGCAAGTTTCTCTATTTTATCTGTGTCTTTAAATGGATCGGTATAAAGTTGGTCATAGTAACCTACTAATTCTATCTTCAGCGTGTATACTTAAAATCTTTTTCATTTCTTTTTCTTTTTTTCTAAATCTTAGCATAGTTTGCAAATTTTGTTAGTCTTCATGGACCAACTTTGGGCTTTGTTGATGCTCTCTACTTTTTTGCATGTGCTTATAAACTGTTCTTCCTCCTTTTGCTTAGTTCTTGGATTCTGTAGAACTTTACATGGGAGCAAGCATGCAGACTCAGCAATGCTTTTTTTTTTTTTTTTTTTTTCAGTCTAGCCCTTTAGTTGTTCCAGTCGCGAGATTCTCTCAGTGTTTTAGTCTACACTATTCCCAGAAATACTCATCTGAATATACTTTATTGTGTTCCCACATGCCGTCATTGGTTTCATTGGTCTGGATGGAGCCCATGCATCAGTGTTGGTGTTTTTTTTTTTTTTTTTTTTTTTTGGCTGGGAAGGGGATCACAACCCTCGGCAAGGTGTGGTCTGCACCAGGCTCAGCCAGTGAGTGCACCGGCCATCCCTATATAGGATCCGAACCCGCGGCCTCGGTGCTACCAGCTGCTGTACCCCTTGGCTTGGTGTCATCCGCACCACGCTCAGCCAGTGAGCGCATCGGCCATCCCTATATAGGATCTAAACCCGCAGCCTCAGCGCTGCCAGCGCCACACTTTCCTGAGTGAGCCATGGGACCAGTCTGGCATCATTTTTTAAAAGCATCTTATAAGACTTTATATTTAACCAATGCTGCCAGCTACTGGTTTAAAAGCACAAAATGTAGGGCTACCTTCCCAAAAAGTGACAATGACTTGCTTTTCTTTGAGATCTTTATCAATTAGAGTATGCATTTTTATGCGATTATTCTTTTTATCTCTTCTTATTTCAGGTAACTGCTGGTGTTCCTCTTAAGAAAGAATATACAGAGGAGGTAAGAGGAACTCTTTAGAAGAATCATTCAAATCCGTTTAATCCCTGGCTTACAGATGACATTCAATTAGTGAATGAGCCTCTTAGAAAAGTGCTTTTCTAAGAATCCAAGAGATAATAGGTGGGGTAAGAGATAAAGTCCATTCATTTAAGTCTTAAATCCCAAGAAGAAATGGATGTAGGCTTTATCTATTGTTCTCTACCCCCAAGGCAGCCATCAGAGCTCAAGGTCCCTAGGACCGAAATAAATATGAAGCTTATACCCATGTATTCTTTCGGTTTGGAAAAGACTGCCTTTTGGAAGATACCAAATTGGCTCTTTTCTGTAAATAGACTTTGATTTACTGACAGCAGTACCTCTTAGCTCCTACAGGTGGCACCAGGGATTTGAGCCGGGAGCAGCTGGACAGGGCCCCTCACCATACCCAGCCTTGTGCCTTTTATCCACCAGTCTGTAGCACGTGAGCAGGTTGCATAGGTCCTGGCAGCCAGTCCACAGAAGAAATAAATAGCTGCCAGGTTCAACACCTACATATGCATTGGCTTCAGAATAATTTTAGAAATAATTTTGAAAATGAACCTCCTCCTTCTGCAGCCATCTTTCTTGGAGGAAAAAGTGATTTATGGTCTTCTCCAAAAGCTACTAGGACAATAAAGTGAGGAAAGGTGGAAGCCAAACCTGCCTGAGTGGTGCTGCCCATTTAGTTCGGTGGGGCTGGTAGGAGGCAGTACACAGGGGTCTGGTTTTCTTACAGAACATCCAGCTGGTGGCGGATGGCTGCTGTAACCTGCAGAAGCAAATTCAGATCACTCAGCTCTTCGGTGTTCCCGTTGTGGTGGCTCTGAATGTCTTCAAGTAAGTCAAACCTCTGACTTTAAATGTGGTCGTATCACTGGGCCACCCTGTGAACTATATTTGTGTCTTGAGGGTATTTGGTCTTCTCTGCTTCATCTAAAAGTATACAGAAATATTCAGCTCTTTGTATTTGTTTGTTTGGTTTGGTTTCGTTTTAGCAGACGTGTTTTCAAAATGTTATTAGGGAAATGAAATCTGTATAGTGAGTTACCATTTCCTTGGCTTTTTTTTTTTTTTTTAATTCCACCCAGCATGTCTGTCTGAAAGACTGAGAATGATCAAAGGGACATGTTATGGAATTTTCTTGATAAAACCCTTAACAACTGGAAATATTTGAGTCATGTTGGAGGGGTTTTTTTTTTCCATGCTTTTCTTTAAGTCTGATTTATTTAAACACGATGTGACCACTTTTGATGTTTAAAATGTATTCAGTGTTAGGGAGTGAAGTTCTGTACAAATGGTTAGTCTTTCTTTAAAAACATCACTAAATGAATGCAGATGCAAAACCACGAGCATTTTCACCACCAGGACTGACACCCGCGCTGAGATTGACTTGGTGTGTGAGCTCGCAAAGCAGGCTGGTGCCTTCGATGCGGTCCCCTGCTATCACTGGTCGGTTGGTGGAAGAGGGTCAGTAGACTTGGCTCGGGCTGTGAGAGAAGCTGCAAGTCAAAGAAGCCGTTTCCAATTCCTGTATGAAGTTCAGGTAAGGCATAATAACGAGCTACAACAATAGTGCCCACGCTTCTTGCACCTTAACTCCGTGCCAGGCCAGTGCTGACAGCTGTGCGTACAGCTTGTCCCATTTAGTCCTCACAGCAACCCCACAGACCAGGAAACTGAAGATGAATGAGGCTAAGCCATCCATCAAGGTCATGTTGCAAAGGGCAGACCCTGGCCCCTTGCCCCAAAGCCTGTGCTCTTGAAGACTACACTCTACTTCCAAATAGCAGGCGTAAGTGAGGGGGTGCTTTGGAGAACAGGGTTCAACAGCCAACATTTTCAGGGATTGCACAGGAATGAGACTTTTGAGCTATTTGATAGAGCTTGTGAAATCATGGGAAGTATTTTCTTTGTCCATTTCTGCTATGGTTCTTTTCCTTCTTTGGGGTTTTCTTAAGCTATGTATAGTATATATACCTTTTTTCATTGCAGTAAATAAAATACACATTATGTAAAATTTACCATCTTAACCATTTTTAAGTGCACAGTTCAGTTATTAAGCACATTCACATTATTGTGTACCCAGTCTCCAGAAGTCTTTTTATCTTTTTTTTTTTTTTTTTCCTTTTTGTCCTTTTTCGTGACCGGCAACGGATTGCAACCCTCAGTGTCGTGCCCGTACCAGACCAGGACCGGCAATGGGATCGCAACCCTCGGTGTCGCGCCCGCACCTCGCTCAGCCAGTGAGCAGCCAGTCTGTACGTGGGATCCGAACCCTCGGCGGGAGCGCCGCCGCACTCCCAAGCGGCACACTGTAGCAGTGCGCCACCGGGCCGGCCCCGAAGTCTTTTTATCTTGCAAAACTGAAACTCTGCACCCCTTACATAGTAACTCCCCATTCACCCTCCCCACAGCGCATGACAGCCACCATCTACTTTCTGACTCTATGAATATGACTGCTTTAGATACTTCATACCAGTGGAATCATACGGCAGTATTAGTCTTTTTGTGACTGGGTTATTTTGCTTACCATAATGTTCATGCATATTGTAGCATGTGTCAGAATTTCCTTCCTTTTTAAGGCCGAATAATATTTCACTGTATCCATATACTACATTTTATTTATCCTTTCATCTGTTAACAGACACTTGGGTTGCCTCCACCTCTTGGCTATTGTAAATAATGCTGCAAATATCTCTTCAAGACCCTATTTTCAGTTCTTTTGAATATGTGAGGGTACTTCAAAAAGTTTGTGGAAAAATAGAATTGAAGATAATACGAATCTTTCCATGAACTTTTTGAAGTACCCTCGTATATTCAGACGTGGAATTGCTGGATTGTCTAGTATATTTTTTAAACACACCTAGATGATGAGCCTTCAGTCAGAACATCTGAATTTCCCAGGAAAACCTCAGACAGTTCATCCTGGCACCCACCTCCCAACTGCATTCTGCATTTTGTGGCTCTAGTTCTGGATCTCGGATCTGTCCTCACAGGTAGTCCATGATCACCAGAGAGCTTGGCCTTCAAACCAATACAGATTCTATGGGTCTTTTTCTCAGATGTCACAAACAATAACGTCACTCCTCTTTCCTGTTTGGTGGCATAAGGGAAGAAGAGAAAACACGTAAGTGAAGGGAGGGCACAGCAGCATGATCTGTGAGGCTGGAGTCGCATCAGCAGGAGCATGGGGCTGTCACTGAGGCTGCACTTGAGGGAGGGCTTTGTGTGTGCCACGTGTGTTGGCACCTTGGTATACTTGAACTTATTCAGTTCTGACAGCCTTACTGGGTAGGAACTGGTGATATCCTCCCATTTTATAAATAAGAACAACAGCACAAAGAGATGAGGTAAGTTGCCCTGAGTCCCATGGCCAGAATGAGGCAGAGCTGGAAGAGCATCTGGAATGATGGATGACATCGTCTCTGTGCTGCAGAGCTCAGTACTGTGTTCAAAAGTGTGTGAAGGAGGGGAGGGGGTGACAGACAGCTTAAGAGGGCAGTGACCAAGTGATCCACCTGAAGAGGAAGGACAGCAGGAACAGGCAGAGAATCCCTGCCTGTGAGGGACGTCATCGGCACTCAGAAAATGTTTGTGGAAGGAAGGACTTGAGGAATGAATTGGAGTGGTTGGCTCAGTATATGTTTGTTGTGTTGAAAGGACATTTTACTAATGAAGGACTAGAATATTCTGGGTTACAGAGGTGATCAGGATCAACAGGGGAAGGAGATTTGGGGTCAAAATAAAGAAAAATGTTCTAATTGGAAGCCGTGAGTTCTCCGGCACTGGAGATGTTAAGCATAAAATAGAGGCAGCCCTGAGGTGGGCGTGTTAGAGGGTTGAAACCAACTTGGGGGACGGGGGGTGCCTGAGCTGACCCCGTCTGTATTCCTGTGCCTTGGTTTCGGGTGAGGTGCACCAGGGTGTCTGCATTGCCTGGCTCAGCCCACGGCCGCTCCACACAAACCACTGTCAGGAGATTCGTCCTCTATACCCACCACCTTCTGATCGTGAGCCTCCCGCTCTACGTGGCACGGGCAGGTATTTTAATGAATAATTTCACAATGTGTGGCTCTTTTCAAGGAAAGCATCCCAGGTGAAAAGAAGGTCAGTAAACAGAAGAAACAGAAGAAATGTTTCAGAGTTATGCCGTCTTAGACAACACTAACCCTGAGATGAACCCTTTCCCTTTCCACTGATATTTTAATTTTTTTTTTTTAATTCCCATTCTTCATGGAGATAATGCTGTTAAAATGTCTGCTCTCCCATGGAAAGGGGAAAAATTTATAATAATGTAGTCGAGAGCTCTATATTTGCAAGGTGGCCCCAAGGCTAGGATTCTTGCCTCCTTTGCCAACATAACTCTCCCTGTTCTTGCAACCCAGAAATTAAATTTGGGCCACATAATTGTTTGTTAGATAATCAGCATCTCAGCCTCTTGCAACATGACAGTTTGTGAAAAGAGCTGTTGCTGCTTTGGGTTCCCTTTTTCCAGTCTCCCTAGTAGCTGCACTCCTCACACTAGCAAGACAAGCTTAGAGAACGTGGGCGCATTTACTGTCTTGTCTTATGACCATGTAAAAATCTGAATTCATCGGTGCACTCAATAGTAGAGCACAAACATTTTTTTTCTCCCCCTCTAACTTTTTGCATTCTGTGCTGGTAAAACTTTACAGACTAAGTCACGGTTTTCTTGCAGCCCTTTTTTTCCACTTTATTTTTTTCCCCTTTGTTTTTTTCCCCATGACTAATCCTTTGGTGCTGGGTAGTTAGATAGGCGTGGGATTGTTCTACAGAAAAAAGAAGTTATAAATGTTTTTGGGTAAATCACTGTCCTGCCTTTGATTTTCAGTGCAAACTGGGCTTCCGTGCCTTTTCCTATCTCCCCAGACTTTATTTCCCCAAGAATGAATTCAGTACAGTATTAATGACATCTTATTTCCTGCTCCCCCCGCCACCCCCAACCCCTTGTGTTGTTTTGGAGCACAGGGCATGATTGCTTTGTGTGTGATGTAGCAATTGTCTCAGTGCCCCCAAGGGAAGAGGGACAGCTAGAGACAAGTAGAAACACCTGACTCCAAGCCGCTGGGAGGCCAGGCAACTCAGTGGGCTGGGCTTTGTGATGACAGCCCTCATGTAAAGCAAGAAACAAACCGCTCTTGTGACATGAGCATCTCTGCTGAACTTTACAGAAAGCGGCGTTAACCAGCCACTGTTATGTAGAGAACAGTACCACATCTCTTTCTACCAGAATAGCTTCTAATTCAAGAGTAGGCAACTTTTGATTGTGATACCAGCGGCACTAGTTAATTCATTCAGAATAAAAATTTTAAAGTATGGAACAAGATGTAGCAGTCTAATTGCTCAAAAGAAGTTTATGGTGTGAAAATTACTTAAACTTGAAATACAGTGGGTGATTTCCTCTCAACCCTTTAGGGTGATTGCCGTTCCCTTTAAGAAGCTGTTAGGGGGCCGGCCCGGTGGCGCACTACTATAGTGCGCCGCTTGGGAAGCGCGGCGGCCCTCCCGCCGAGGGTTCGGATCCCACATACAGACCGGTTCCCGCTCACTGGCTGAGCGAGGCGCGGGAGCAACACCGAGGGCTGCGATCCTGTTGCCGGTCCCGGTCCGGTACAGGGGCGACACTGAGGGTTGCGATCCGTTGCCGGACACGGAAAAAAAAGACAAAAAAAAAAAAAGAAGCTGTTAGAATTAACCTCCCCCCGAATCATCTTCTCTTTGACTTTTTCTTTTCTGATTTTACTTTTGACAATTATATCTCTACAGTCAACTAATATAAATGTCTTCATATCTGCCAGCACATATGGAAATATTATAACTGAGATAAAAACTGATGTGTGTTTATACTTTATTAGCTGAGAAATCCCTCGTTCCTACATTCTCTCAGGCATGCCTCACCGAAGCCCACCTGATGTGTGGGCTCAGCTCTGCAGAGTAGGTGGGAAGGTGCCGGACTTCCCCATAACTAATGGACACTTGGTGTGAGAAGTGACATACATAGTTAAAAGGCTAAATTTGAGGCCATGCAGAACTGAGTTCAAATCTTAACTAGGCCTCCTGCTACAGGTATAAATTTGGGCAATCTAATCTCTGAGCCTCAGTTTGCTTATCTATATGGTGGTGTCTTACACTATCTTCTCCAAATTGCTGTGAGGACCAAATGAAATATCTCAGAGTGAGATGCTGGCACCTAGAGAGCTAGCAATCAGTGTTAACTCTTCCTCCTGTCAAGTTCACTGTGGAAAGAGAGTGGGCCTCCTGAATTCACCTTCAAGAATTCTCTTGAAAGTCAAGGTAACTTTTTCAAACTCTAGGGTTGGTTTCTTGCTCAAGTGAGTTAAACCCAGGAATTAGAGACCAGGGCTCCTAATATGCCAAGAAATTAAACCAAGACATCTGACATTATTCCTTCTCAGTGAGAATGGGGAGCCATTAGTGGTATCATAACAGGTCATTTTTGCCAAGAAGGACGTATGGCACTGAAAAGTCTGCTTGCAGTTCTGAGTCTGAGCATCGTTTGTC